GAGGGGGGGGGGGGGAACAATCCCAAGAAATGCTTCTTTAGAACAAAATCAGCATATTACACTGAAGACTGGAGTAATGATGCTGAAAAATTCTGTTTTACATTACATTTTAAAATACATAGAATATTTTATTCATATATATGACAAAATATTTTAATTTGTACTTACTGTGTTTATTTTTGATCAAATAAATGCAGCCTTGGTGAGCATAAGATCATTTTTTTCATAATCATTAAAAAAATCATACCAATCTGACCACGTTCGTTCTTTTAAACATGAATATGGAATGTGAATGAAATCCATTTTTAGATCTGAAGTTGAATAGTCTGTTCATTTCCTTGCAGGTTGTTACATCATACCCTACACCTCTCCTGACTGACATCTTGTGGAAACAGCCTCAAAGAATTTGAAGGGGTGCGACTTTGTGACAACTTACTTTGTCAATTTTTAGAATTTGATGGGGAATATCTCGACACCGACTCTTCTAAAAGTAGCTGATAATGTGAAGCTCTTGGGGACTAAAACTAATTTTCAGACACTGGACTGAAACTGAAAATACAAACTGATGTACATTTTTCATTCAGTGGAATATGAGACATGTTTTTGCTTCCTCTGATTTGATGATTGTAATGCTCAGATTATTTTTCAATACAAACTGTAATGTCCTGAGTAGGTGCATAACGTTTTTACTTTGCGAGAAGCATAGTTCAAGACCTTTAAAATGTTCTCAAACCATACGGTGCGATACTTGAACCAGCTGATAAACAGGTGTAGTTTGTAATCCTCCTTTTACAGGAGTGATTTTACTGTGACTATTGCCTAGTTAGATGTCTCTGACTAGCATCTCAGATGTTTAAACACAAGACTTATTCTCTTAATGTTCAACATTAAGGTCAATTACGGTCATGTCTATGCATATAACGTAAGTGTGCCGAGCAAGATTTTCAAAGAATTGGTATCAAAGTTGCACACCATATCATATTATTTCCCTTCTACTTACGATTTGAGAAAGCTATTAATTTGACACAACGTATTTCGTTAATATATTTGATTTATGCTGGACATTGTTTTAAATAAAGTGATACAAACATATTCTGTTTGACTACTTTGAAAGTGATTTTCAAGTAACAAAAAGGTTTTTAGAAAGATGTTTTTAAAGCATGTGTTAGCTGGTAAGATAGGCTGATATGTGTACACTGATTAATAAAGGTATATGTCATGGACACTCATAGATGAATGGAAATGGGAACTGAAACAAAATTTAGCAGATTATGGAATACAAATGTCAAATAAATCAAGGATGTTCCTTCAAGGCTTTGTAACTTCTGAATAATGAAAATAGCATTGTAAATATGAGAGTTGGTATGGAAAATATTAGACAGAAATTTGCTAATATGCAATTACAAAAATGAAGATGCCATGTATGTAATACAATGCAAAAGAGACAGCAATGTATCTTTACAACATGAATACATAACACATTTTGTTTATTGACTTTCGTTCACAAAGTTAAAATATAATGAGTAATTCCAAAAACTAAGTGAATGTTTATAATTACGTTGCTGGTAGAGATTTGCTAATGAAGTTTGTTAAAAGTAGAGAAATAGTGTTCCACAATTTTACCTGATTGTATTTCAGTATTTTTTTATGTTTTAGAAACTTTCAAAGGTTCAGATTATGTTATAAAACATAAATAAAAATATGTAGTTTGGGCCAGTTTTTTTTTTTTTCCCTGCTGAAAAAAAAAACGGCTAAAACCATCTGGTTGGCAGGTTTTAGCTGGTTGTCCAGCCTGGTCATAGCTGGTCAGCAGGCTGGTTTTAGACGGGTTTTGGCTGGTCTCCGCTGGTCAGGCTGGGAGACCAGCTAAGACCAGCCTCCCAGCTTAGGCTGGTTTTAGCTGTGTGTGTGTGTGTGTGTGTGTGTGTGTGTGTGTTTTCATTAGGGTTAAGAAAGAAAGAAAGAAAGAAAGAAAGAAAAAGACGTTTCTGAAGACTACCAGACTACGTTTTCCACAACATTTCTAAAATGTTTTATTTTGGTTACATTATTGTAATTATAGGTGTGGTTTCTAGAATTTTAAAATGCAACGTCTTGAAATATTGTAAACACGTTTTGTGTTTGTTAGTGTTACAGTTAAATATTTTACTACCAAAAGAAAAATTCCAGTGATACAATTCTGAGCCGCCTCTTTACGTGAATCGGGACTTTTATTTTGAAAAATGAAGGCAGAAGGCGTGAAGCCAACAGCTAATGGCAGTTCAATATGGCAACCTGTAAACGATAAGAAGACGTGAAAGTCAGCATTAAAAAAATTAATTTAGAGTTATGCACGGTACATCGTTTAGGTTAACTTTCTAGACAGATCATTTATCATACTAGAAGGAGTCATGATGTATTCGTATTCAGTATTCAGAATCGGAGGAACGACAAAGTGTCTGCAGCATATATTAAAACGTGTGCATGTCAGATTACCACAACAGACCTCCGCTTTACGACCTGTTTTTCAAACAAACCGATGTCCTGCGTCCAAGTGGACATTTTATCACACTCGCTCGCTTTACACTGGAGTTAATTTTTGTAGTAGGAGCGATGGGAAGGACACGGACCAGGTGCCAGTTTCCAGAAGGTCCCACACACCTCCAATCCCGTCTGCAGCACAGAAAGGTACGTGCAGCACAAAATTAAAATAGTAACCATAGTTTCCGCCAAAATAACCATAGTTAGGGTTAGGAATCGGTATTACCAACCACTGTCACTAGAAAAAAAGTATTGAAACAAAATGATTCTTAAGCTACACTTTACAACAACAACAAAAAAAAGATTCCGTTTGTTAACATTAGTTAACTACATTAGCTAACATGCACTAACAATTTGAAACATTTATTTATGCTAATTTTCTATTTTTGAAATCAAAAGTTGTGTCTGTTAATAATATTTAATTGACCAGAGCTGATATAAAGTAACATTAGCAAATTGTAATAATACTGTACAAATGTATTGCTCATTGTTAATTACTATTAGCTCATGCATTACTAACGTTAACTAATGGGACTTTATTGTAAAGTGTTACCCAAAGCTTTTTTTTTTAATCCTGGCTATATATCTTTTATATTCTTATAGTAGTTACACTAATCACAATAGATATGTTATTTTGGCAGGAACTGTTGTCACTGTGATGTTTTTTTTCTTCAAGATTAATTATAGCTATTCGGTATATAAATGTCTGATTCTGTTTTGTCTTTCCTCAACAGTCAAACAAGCTGGCAAAGATTTCACCTATTTGATTGTGGTGCTCATCGGACTCAGTGTAACAGGTGACGTGATGTGTTAGGTTTGGCATGAACCAGGGCTGGATTGTGGACCATCATGCCGAGGGGCCTGGTCTTCATACCACCGGGACTTTTAGGCACCAAAATGAGTTTCCTAATAATGATGATTGGGTTTATTTTATTATTATTTATATACTATTTTTAATGTTTTGAATTAGATTTCCTTTTTTTTTCAGTTATTTTAATTTTAGTTTAAAGGGTTAGTTCACTCAAAAATTAAAATTAGCCCATAAACCATATTTAAAACGTAATAATCACTTTAATGTAGCTTGCGATCACTGTTGTAAAGGGAAGCAGTTCCGGGCGAATGACCTATGAGGTCAGCGTTGCGTTGCACATGCGCCGGTGAGTCTCGTGAAAACCAACATTTGTTAACAGGAGCAAAGGAAGCAAAGTTTCCTTACTTTAGCAAAGGAAAACCAGTCTCCTCTTGGCTTATATCGAAATCCTCCGACATTCTTCTTTACAAATCCTCGTTTTGTACTTCTAATTAGTGACCGTTGTTTTGTTTTGATCTCTCCGCTGCACTTCCGCGTTCGTCACTTCTGAGCGGCGCATGCGCAAAGCCGACCTCATATGTCATCCGCCCTGAACTGCTTGTCTTTACAACAGTGATCGCAAGCTACATTAAAGTGATTATTACGTTTTGAATATGGATATTTTTCTTACAAAAACGCATCGATTCGCTACAGAAGGCCTTTGTTCACCCCCCGGAGCCGTGTGAGACACTTTTTTTTTTTTTATGGATGGGCGCTTTTTATTTAACTTCTTTTGGACTGAAGCATGCAACACCCGCTGAGTGCCATGAAACAGCTTGAAAGATCAAAGACAATTTTTAATATAACTCCGACTGGATTCGTCTGAAAGAAGAAAGTCATATACACCTAGGATGACTTGAGGGTGAGTAATTTATGGGCTAATTTTCATTTTTGGGTGAACTAACCCTTTAAGTAATTTTGTTGTGCTTTTGTAAGTTTTTAGTTTTTGTTTTTTAATATTTCTATTTAGCTTTAATTTGTGTTTATTTCAGTTTTAGAGATTTTAGTACTTACATTTATTTTAGCTAGTTAACAATTTTTTATAATTTGTGTAATATGTTGTAAATTTCAGTTTTTTTCTTTAAATCTAATATTTTTATTTTATTTTATTTCAGCATTATTTAAATTACCAAAATGAATTGTAATTATTTTAGTTAACATTAACAACACTGATCTAAAGATGTGTACCCAGGGCCTTATGGGACCATGATCTGGCTTTGGTTCAAACATCTATTTGATGATGTTATTATCATAGAGCTCAATTAAAGAATACTAAATTAAATTGTATATGTTTAAGAGTGTAATAAATGATCTGGTTGTCATCCTTATTAGTTGGACTGCTGTATGTGGTCTTTCAAGAGCTGTTTTCCTCTTCAAGCCCGAGCAAAATTTATGGACAAGCTTTTGAGAGGTGCAGATCTCACCCAGAGGTCAGCATATGGTGATTCGTTTATTTTAAACTATAAAGATATACAAACCAAATATGTTAAATGCCTGAATAAATCAGGTATTTGCTGTATGTAAAGGTAATTGGAGCTTTTGGAGAGCCCATCAAAGGTTTTGGGGAGACCAGTCGGCGTGGAAGAAGACAACAAGTCAGGTAAAATTTAGAATATAAATAAATACAAACACTTCTGTTACACCTCACATATGGTTAACAAGATTTTTCCTTCAGTCATGTTGAGTACATGAAGGATGGACTCAAGTACATGCGGCTGAAATTTTACATTGAGGGATCTGAACCAGGATTACGGGGAACTGTTCATTCTGAATCAAAGGAGGTACATTACAGCTTCTCAATAAAAATGGTTATATTAGTTTCATGTTGACACATATATGACAAACTACTGCTTCTTCCGACAGAATCCTGAGACTGGAAAATATGAATTCAGGTATATTTTTGTAGACATAGACACGTATCCCAGGAGGACCATCGTCATTGAAGACAACAGATAAAAAGGGTTTTGACAGTGTTATGCAGTATTGGGAATTTCAGTAGCAGACGAGCTTTGACAATTGAATTCAAGCTCTGATAATTGAATCGGAATTGGATTTGTCACGTTTGAATTTTGTTGTATTGATCTTCCACAGATTAGTCTACATAAACTTGTGATAATCTAGATATTTGGACATGAGAGTGCTTGTACTGAAACATCTGGTATTCTGTACAAGGATTTGCACGTTTTTATTATAAAATCTGTGCTTTGAAATAAAGATCAATTATAGAATTAATATAGAAAATCAGTTTTATTCAATTTACTGTAACTTGAATATCGGTTAATAAAGCAATTGTTGTTCTTCCTTTGAAAAATTGAATGCAATGTAAATTCATCTATACAAAGTTTATATTTCCTGATATATATTTCTTTTAAATTTAGTGAAAATGTATTAAAAATATATTTATTGTCACTGTTATACAGAAGAGTAACAAATGGCAAAAAGAAAATTAGCAGTTGGACAAATAATGGCAAAAATATGTAACTGACAGATATACAGTGGGTACGGAAAGTATTCATTCTGTGTTTTTCTGTCAATATGGGGTGCTGTGTGTACATTAATGAGGAAAAAAAATTAACTTAAATGATTTTAGCAAATGGCTGCAATATAACAAAGAGTGAAAAATTGAAGGGGGTTTGAATACTTTCCGTACCCACTGTATAACTAAATTAACTTTAATTTTGCATATACAGGTAGTATGTAAGTTCAAGCATGTGTTTATTGTCGAATTTTTTTCACATGCAATATGATAAAATACCCCATTGACATGAGATTGTTAAGTAACATATAGTATACATATATTAACTTATAGTTATTAATTTAACCTTGCAATCGTGAACGCTTCTTGTGCCCGGTAGGTGGCGGTTTATTTCAATTTTTGAACCGTTCTTACAATATGATCTTCCGGTACAAAACTCGGCAGGCAAATGATATTTAAGATGATATGAAAACATTACATATAAAATATATAGCTACTATGTGGACGCTCGCAAGGTCTTAGTAGCATATCTACGGTTTTAAACTTAAATAATAACAATAATAATAATACATTTGCATCTAAATGAGTAAATTACGACAACAAAAACGTAAAATAAACGATGAAAGACTTTTAATTTGACGTCCTTCTCCCATGACTCCACGGAAGTGCAGACGCCTTGCGAGACAGAAGAACTACAGCAAAACCCCTCCGTTTGCTCATGGAAAAAAACACAGCCCTCAAGATTTCTCGGAAACCCTTTGAGGCTCTTAAGTATTAGCATTCACTAACAGAGCGAGGAGCCAGCCACACTCGAAAAATTACACCCAGGAGTCGGTGTTTGTATTTTATGAAGGTAACGTTAAACATATTTTGTAGCCCGTTAGCAAAGCGACTTCCTCCGTGTACATGAGGAGCAGATGCTTCGTTAGCTGGCTAAAACTGGATTATAACGCCACTTAAAACGCGTTTAAAGGTGAGCTGCTTTTCTTTATGACAAGTTATATTAATATTATATAACTAGAAAAAGCCCTATGAGTGCATTTAAAGAGTTGGTGTTCCCGTGCGATGTTAGTTTGTTTATATTGGTGAACTAAGCGTGTGCTTGTGAGAGTTTGTTTTCAGTTTTCTGCTTGTATAACAGTAACGCAACCTTGTTTGTTACACAATATATTTGAAATAAAGTCTGTTTTAAATGTTTCTAGTGTGATTATAAGAATCTGAGCTGCTTTAAAGGGGTCATATGATGCGATTAAAATTTTTCCTTTCTCTTTGGAGTGTTACAAGCTCTTGGTGCATAAAGAAGATCTGTAAAGTTGCAAAGACTAAAGTCTCAAATCCAAAGAGATATTCTTTATAAAAGTTAAGAGTCAACCATGCCTACCTAAAACGGCTCGTTCTAACACGCCCCCACGTTCGCCGGGTCTGCTTTCACCGTGGACGAAGCGGAGTCCAGCCCGGGGTCGTCACATGTGGTTGCTGCAAGCCCCCCCGCCGCCGCTCACTCTAGCCTCCGGCCTCCACTCACTCACTTGAGGTATTCGGCCAATCACAACGCACTGGATAGCTGACCAATCAGAGCACAAAATCGAAGCGTTTCAGAAAGGCGGGGCATAGAGGAGAAACGATAATGTACAGTATGTGGAAAATAATGTTTTTTTTTTACCTTAAACCGCATAAACACATTTCATTACACCAAATACACAAAATAATTTTATTTTTAGCAACATCATATGACCCTTTTAAACATGAGATCAGTTGACAGTTTGAATAATTATTCATATGTGGGTTGGATGATTATTATAATCATGAGTAAATCAATATTGCCTAGATCTCAAATTGATGTTTTCCTTTGCAGATCTTACCAAACTCTGTTATTGGTTCATATTTCTGTTTGACAGCTTGGAAGCTGATTATGGTAATTGATACCAACTGGTGAGAAACATGGAGCTATACTGGTACATGTAAGTTTTGATGTGATTACAGTTGTATTGCCTCATTTGTGCTTTAACATTGTGTCAGCATTGATTTTGTTTATTTCAGTTTACTTTAGTTGGTCATTTTGTTTATGGCATGTATCACGCAACATGATGTAGTAATTTCAAGTCATGCTTGTGCCTTTGAGACTTTGAACTTGTTCGTTATCTTGTTTTAGAGTCGTCATAATATTTATTATGATTAAGATCTTCTTCTACATCTGCTGGTATCGCTCAAGGCAAAGACAGCTGGCTGCGTACCTCAGCAATCCCCGAAACGCTCAGATCGTCATTGTTGGAGGACGAGCGTACCTGCACCAGATCTGCGAGAGACAAAATGTGAGTAAACTACAAGTTCAGTTCAATCAGATGCTTTTTTTTTTTCGAGGTGTGGCCGGCTTGGCTGTGCGTCAACCGTTGCTGATATAATCGCTGTTTGGAAACATGACATAGTTTAACTTCCTGTTGCAGTACAGTGTGGGTCTCATGAACTCATTGTACATTCAGCAAGACAATAAGATAGACTGAAGTGTAATATGTTATGGTATCTTCTGTTGACATTTCACAGTAGATTTGACTAGGTAAATGGCAGAGACACTGATATAAGCTTATAGACATCTTTTTCCCTTTGATCAAGTAAGGGGAAAAGGATGTTGTGATTAAGCACTGAAAATGTATTTAAATCCACTGTGTAACCCTCATCACTGTTCAGTCAGTTTTAGATTACACCAAAATAAATATTAGTTTGTCTTATTCTCTCTGATTCGTTTTTTTTTTTTTTTTTTGAGTTTTAAACTGTTTTGAGTTTTAAACTGTTAGTCATCTAATAAAATTAAATATTTTGTATGATATATTAATGATAAAAAAGCTCAATTTCTTTAATTTAAACATTATATATACTGTATATATACACTACCGTTAAAAAGTTTAGAGTCGTAAGATTTCTATTTTTTTTTTCTTTTTTTTTTAAATAAAAATAAATACTTTCATTCAGCAAAGATGCATTAAATTAAATCATAAATCAAAAGTTACTGTTACAAACAATTTCTTCTTTAAATGCTGTTCTTTTGAACTTTCTATTCATCAAAGATTTCTGAAAAATGTTTCCAGGCAAATATTAAAGGGGTCATATAACGTTGCTAAAAAGAACATTATTTTGTGTATTTGGTGTAATGAAATGTGTTTATGCGGTTTAAGGTTCAAAAAACATTATTTTCCACATAATGTACATTATTGTTGCTCCTCTATGCCCCGCCTTTCTGAAAGGCATCGATTTTTACAAAGCTCATCTGTCTATAAAGCGAGGTATGCTCTGATTGGCCAGCTATCCAGTGCGTTGTGATTGGCCTCAAGCGTGTGACGGAAATGTTACGCCCCTTAACATACTGTGATGCCGTGTCCCGGCGCGACGAGACAAAAC